ATTTTTTAATCCTCACCCAAGGATATTTTTCCATTTATCTACAGATAGTGTGGGAGGGATGGAGGGTGGGAGGGGAGAGAGAGAGAAAAAAAAAACATCGTGTCAGAGACACATTGATTGGTTGCCTCCCACATTACCCTGACCAGGGCCAGGGATGAACTGCAACCGAGGTATATGCCCTTGGCTGGACTCGAACCCATGACTCTTTGGTCTGTGGACCAACGCTCTAATCACTGAGCAAAACGGGCCAGGGCTCCTTCTTTTCCTTGATGAATAATATTTCATTATATATTTACCACACCTTCTTAAAAATTTTTTTTTCTTTATTGATTTCAAAGAGAGAGGAAGGGAGAAGGAGAGAAAGACAGGAACATCAATAAGAGAGAACATCTATTGGCCGCTTCCTGCATGCCCTCTACTTGGGACTGGGCCCACAGTCTGAGCATGTGCCCTGACTAGGAACCCAACTGGCGACCTCTTGGTGCTTGAGTTGATGCTCAACCACTGAGCCACACTGGCCAGGCTATAGCACAACTTTTTTATCCATTCATTCATTAATGGACACTTACATTGTTTTCATATTTTCCGTATTTGGGCTGTTATAAATAATGCTGCTATGAATATGGGGGTGCAGATATCTTTTTATGCTAATGTGTTTTGTTCCCTTTTGATATATTTCCAGATGTGGAATTACTGGATCGTATGGTTCTATTTTTACTTTTTGAAGAACTTCCATACTGTTTTCCAAATTCCACCAATAGTGCACAGGGTTCCCCTTTCTCAACATGTGCACCAGCACTTGTCATCTCTTGTCTTTTTGAAGTTGGTCGTTCTAACAGGCATAGGGTGATATCTCAGTGTGGTTTAATTAGAATTTTCCTAATTACTGGTGATGTTGAACATCTTTTCATGTACCTTGACTAGTTGTAGTTTTTCTTTGGAAAATGTCTATTCAGGTTCTTTGCCTATTTTAAAATTGGATTATTTATTTTGCTATTGAATTGTAGGAGTTCTTTATATATTTTGGATATTAAGTTTTGATCAGATATATGAATTTGCAAATACTATTTCCCATTCTGTAGGCGTTTTTCACTTTGTTGATGGTTTCTTCTGCTGTATAGAAGCTTTTTAATTTTAAGTAGTGCCACTTGTTTATTTTTAATTTTGTTGCTTGTGCTTTAGGTGTGATCTCTAAATAATCATTATTCAGATCCATGTCAAGGAACGTTTTTTCTGTTTTGTTTTGTTTTTTCCCCCAGGAGTTTCATGGTATCAGGTCTTATATTTAAGTATTTAATCCATTTTGAGTTAATTTTTGTGAGTGGTGTAACATAGGGTCAAGTTTCATTATTTTACATGTGAATATTCAGTTTCCCCAGCACAATGTATTGAAGAGACTGTCATTTAAATCTCCAAGTAGTATTCTTGGTTTTCTTGTCAAATATTAATTGACTACAAGTTTGTGTTTATTTTTGGGTTCTTGTCTGCTCCATTGATCTATTTGTTTTTATGTTACTACCATACTGTTTTTATTTATTTATTTATTTTTATTTTATTTTATTTTTTTTTATCCTCACCCGAGGACATTTTTCCATTTTTTTGTACAGATAGAATGGGAGGGAGAGAGAGGAAGAGAGAGAGAGAGAGAAACATCAATGTGAAAGGAACACATCGAGTGGCTGCCACCCGCACGACCAACCAGGGCCGGGGACAGACTGCAACCGAGGTACATGCCCTTAGCGGGAACCGAACCCAGGTCTCTCCAGACTGCAGACTGACGCTCTAACCGCTGAGCCAAACCAGCCAGGGCTGTTTTTTTTACTTTTTATTCCTCACCTGAAGATATTTTTCTTTCTTTTTTTTTTTAATGATATTTTTCTATTCATCATTAGATACAGTGGGAAGAGGGAGAGAGAGAGACAGAGAGAAACATCGATGTGATTGAGACACATCGACTGGTTGCCTCCCGCAGGACCCAACCAGGGCCAGGGATGAATCGCAACCAAGGCCTGTGCCCTTGACTAGAATCAAACCTGCGACTCAATGGTCCGCGGACTGACACTCTAACCCTGAGCCAAACCAAGCAGGGCACTACCATACTGTTTTAATTACTACAGTTTTATAATATAGTTTAAAATCAGGAAGTGTGATCGTTTCTGCTTTGTTCTTAGGATTTTTTTTTTTTTAAAGTCATTTGGGGTCTTTTGTGGTTCCATATACATGGTTAAGAGTGTTTATTATTATTATTTTAAATACATATTTTTTGTAAAAAAGTCATTGGAATCCTGATAGGGATTGCATTGAATTTATAGATGGCTTTTGGTAGTATTGACATTTTAACAGTAATAATTATTCCACATTGAATTTTATGTGTTGAACCATCCTTGGCATTCCAGGGTTAAATCCCACTTGATCATGTTGTATAGTCTTTATAATGTTCTGTGAATTCTGTGTGCTAGTATTTTCTTGAGGACTTTTGCATCGATATCCATTAGGAGGATTATTGGTCTGTTGTGCTTTGTTTTATTTTTTTCTTGAAGTATCTGTGTCTGGCTATCTGTACCAGGATAATCTGGCCTCATAGAATGAGTCAGGAAGTGTTTCGTCCTCTTCATTTTTTTTGAGTATTATGAGGATTGGTGTTAATTCTTTAAATGTTTGGTAGAATTCTGGAGTAAAACCATCTGGTCCTTGGATTTTCTCTATTGGGAGTTTTGTTGTTGTTGTTGTTACTGATTTAATCTCCTAGTTAGAGGTTTATTCAGATTTTCTATTTCTTTTTTTATCCTCACCCAAGGACATTTTTTTTTTTTTTTTTATATTTTGTTCAGATAGAGTGGGAGGGAGAGAGAGAGAGAGAAACATCGATGTGAAAGGGACACATCGAGTGGTCACCACCCACATGACCCAGCCAGGGCTGGGGACAAACCGCAACCGAGGTACGTGCCCTTAGTGGGAACTGAACCTGGGTCTCTTCAGACCGCAGGCTGACACTCCAACTGCTGAGCCAAACCAGCCAGGGCCAGATTTTTTATTTCTCTATGATTTAATCTTGGTAGGTTATGTGTTTCTAGGAATTCATCCACTTTTTCTTGGCTCTCCTATTTGTTTGGTGTATCATTGTTCATAGTATTCTCTTATCCATCTTATTTCTGTGATACTGGTTGTAATATTCTTTCTTTCATTTCTGATTTTATTTGAATATATTTTTCTTAGTCTGGCTAAGGGGTTATAAATTTTGTTGATATTAAAATGAACAACTTTTTGTTTAATTAATTTTTTCCTACTTACTATTTTGTTGATTTGTGTTCTAATCTTCATTATTTTCTTTTTTCTGACTGCTTTAGGATTAATTTGTTGTTCTAGTTCCTTGATGTATGTTATAGGTTGTGAATTTGTACTTCCTCTTATCTCTGCTTTTGCCATAAATTTTGGTATTTTTAAATCTTTATTATGTCAAAGTACTTTCTAATTTCCCTTGTGACTAGTTTCACCTCTTATTTTTATATTATTTAATTTTCATATATTTGTGGAATCTCCAGTATTTCTTATGATGTTGATACCTAATTTCCTTCAACTGTGATTGGAAAAGATAGTGTGTATGATTTCAGTCTTCTTGAATTTATTAAGACTTGTTTTGTATCTAATGTGTTTTATATCCTGAAGGATGTTTCATGTATACCTGAAAAATATATATTCTGCTGTTTTTGGGTGGAGTGTTCTGTATATTTCTGTTAGGTCAAGTGGTATGGAGTTGTTCAATTCCTCTATCTCCTTCTTGTTCTTCTGTCTGATTGTTCCATCCATTATTGAAAGTAGGGTATTGAAGTCTCTTAATATTATTGTGTTGCTGTATATATCTCCCTTCAGTTCTTTCAAACTATGCCTCATTAATAGAGGAGCTCTGAGGCTTGGTGCATAAATACTTGTTACATCTTCTTGATGAATTAACCCTTTTTGTCATTATAAGTTATTGGCTTAAAGTCTTTTTGTCAGATACAACTAGCATAGGTAACTTCTGTCCTCTTTTGGTTACCATCTGCATGAAATTTTTTCCCATCCTTTCAACCTATATGTACCCTTAGATCGAAACTGTTTCTCCTCTAGACAGCATATAGTTGGAAGTCCATTAAAATTTTTTATTTTTATTTTTTGTATGTGCCCCTAGCGGGAACCAAACCTGGGACTCTCTGGTCTGCAGGCTGATGCTCGAACTGCTGAGCCAAACTGGCCAGGGCTAAAATTTTTTAGTTTTAATCCTCACCTGAGAATATGTTTTTATTGATTTTGAGAGAGAGAGGGAGAAACATCAATGTGAGAGAAAAACATCAATCAGCTGCCTCCCGCACGCCCCTTATTGGGGATCGAGCCAGAAACCTGGGCATGTGCCGTGACCAGGAATTGAACCAGGTCCTCTCAGTCTATGGGACGAAGCTCAATCCAATGAGCCCCATAAACTGGGCAAAGTCCATTAACTTTTAATATTAAAAATGGTTCCTCACCCAAGGGTATTTTTCTGTTTATCTTTAGATAGAGTGGGACAGAGGGAGAGAGAGACAGAGAAACATAGATGTGAGAGAGACACACCAACTGGTTGCCTCCTGCATGACCCCAACCAGGGCCGAGGAAGAATTGTAACCAACTGGAATTGCCCTTGGCTGGAATTGAACCCATGGCTCATTGGTCCGCAGGCCGATGCTCTACTGCTGAGCCAAATGGGATAGGGCTCAAACATTAAGATTTTAAAATACATAATTTGCATGTTTCTGCTTGCTTCTTTTGTCTCTGGGAGTATAGGAAGTTAACTGTTGTGGTTTATTGGAAAGTATGTAGAGTCCTAACATGATAACCATAAGTTCATGTTTCCTTATTATTAAGTGAAGACAATACTTTGAATAGTGGCTGTGATGTTGAAATGTAAAAATGTTTTATAAATTGAGAAATATAATCTAAATGTTAGATTTTGTTACACTCTATTTTAATCTCCTTCTGATTTTCAGGTTGTTCCGTTGACCAGTCATGTATGGCAACAGTCATCATATCAAGATAGTAGTAGAATACAGATTTCTGATTCTAATGTGATCTCTTTGGAAAAAACATCTGAGTGGGGTTCTGGGGATGACGAGGTATGTCTTATGTAACTGGCAAACTATCTTTCTTTTGATAAGCAGCATGAGAAATTCTTATTTAGCTGTGAAGAATAGAAAGATAATATTCCATTTCTCTAAACCATCTTTGGCAACCTTAAACACTGAACTACACCAGCCAGGGCTGTTTCCCTTTTTGAAAATGATTTTGTTTATGTTAGATTTCTGAATTTCTGTAATTTTAGAATAAGCTTATTGATTTCTATTTTAAAAGCCTGCTGCAATTTTTTTCTTTTTTTCTTTTATTGATTTTAGAGAGAGAGGAAGTGAGAGGGAGAGAGAGATAGAAACATTGATGAGAAAGAACATTGATTGGCTGCCTCCTGCACACCTCCCACTGGGGATCAGGCCCACAACCTGGGCATGTATCCTGACTGGGAATAGAACCAGCGACCTCTTAGTGCATGGGTCGATGCTCAACAAATGAGCCATACCAGCCGGACCCTGCTGCAATTTTGATTAACATTGCCTTGTGTCTGTACATTAATTTACAGAGAATTGACATCTTAATATTGAGTTCTCTAATCCATAAATACAACAGTTCTTTTAGTTTTATTTAGGTCTTTAATTTCTTTCTTTTTTTAAGGAATTTGGAATTTCTTTTTTTTTTTTTTTTTTTTTTTTTTTTTTTTTTTATCCTCACCCGAGGATATTTTTCCATTTTTTGTACAGATAGAGTGGGAGGGAGAGAGAGGAAGGGAGAGAGAGAGAGAAACATCGATGTGAAGGGACACATCGAGTGGCTGCCACCCGCACGACCAACCAGGGCCGGGGACAAACTGCAACCGAAGTACGTGCCCTTAGCGGGAACCGAACCCGGGTCTCTCCGGACCGCAGGCCGACACTCTAACCGCTGCGCCAAACTGGCCAGGGCTGGAATTTCTTTTTTTAATCTCCAAATTTTTTTCTTTATTGATTTTAGAGAGAGAGGGAGAGAGATAGAAACATCAGTGAGAGAGAGCATCTATCGGCCGCTTCCTGCATGCTCCCACTGGGGATTGAGCCCACAACCTGTGCATGTGCCCTGACTGGGAATTGAATCAGCGATGTCCTGGTGCATGGGTTGACGCTCAACCACTACTGAGCCTCACTGGCTGGGCAGAATTTGTGATGTTTTAAAAAAATATTTTTTACTGAGTTTTAGAGAGAGAGGAAGGGAGAGGGAGAGATAAACATCAATGCAAGAGTGAAACATCGATGTGAGAGTGAAACATTGAACAGCTGTCTCCTGCATGCCTACTACTGGGAATTGAGCCCACAACCCAGGCATGTGCCCTGACCAGGGATGACCAACAACCTTTTGGTGCATGAGATGATGCTCAACTAACTGATTCACACTGTGCTTGGATTGGTCTTTAATTTTTGTTTTTAATGTTTTTATTGATTTTTTTAGAGAGAGGAAGGGAGGGAGAATAGAAATATAGATGTGAGAAACATTAAAAGGCTGCCTCCTACATGCCCCTGCACTGGGGATCGAGCCCAAAACCCAGGCATGTGCCCTGACTGGGAATCGAACCGGGACCGCTCAGTCCATGGGCTGTAGCTCAATCCACTGAGCCACACCGGCTAGGCTAGGTCTTTAATTTTTTCATCAGTGTTTTGTTGTCTTCAGTGTAACACACATTTTGTTAGACTTACTGGTATTTTTTAAAATTTCAGGTTTCTGCCCTGGCTGGATGGCTCTGTTGGTTGTGGCTTTGTCTTGTACACCAAAAGGTTGCAGGTTCGATTCCTGGTTAGGGCATATACCTAAGTTTCGGGTTCAGTCCCTGGTTGGGAGTCCTGCAGGAAGCAACCAATCAATGTTTCTCTCACATCGATGTTTCTCTCTCTCTAAAAATCAATGAAAATATATCCTTGGGTGAAAATTTTAGAAAAGTAAATTTAAATTTTCTGTTGTTCATCACAGAGATATACAAATATAATTGACTTTTTTTTGGGTGGGGTTAATCCTCACCAGAGGATATATTTCCATTGAATTTTAGATAGAGAAGGAAAGAGAGAGAAACATTGACATAAGAGAGACACATCGGTTGATTTGATTGCCTCCCACATGACCCTGACCGGGGCCAGGAACGGAACCTGCAAGCCAGGTATGTGCCCTTGACAGGGAATTGAACCTGAGACCCTTCGGTCCAAGGACTGACTCTGTAGTTGCTGAGCCAAACTGGCCAGGGCATATAAATGACTTTTTATGTTTACCTTGTGTCCTATGACCTTGGTGATCTTATTTACTAATTTTAGTAATAGTTTTTTTGTAGATTCTTTAGGACTTTCTGTGTAGACAGTCATATCAACTCTATTTTTTAAAATTTATTTATTCATTTATTTATTATCTTCACCTGAGGATATTTTTCCATTTATATTCAGATACGGGGGGGGGCGGGTGGTCTGAGGGCTGATGCTCTAACCACTGAGAAAAACTAGCGAGGGCTCCTTTTTAGTAGATGGATTACTGTTGAAAAACATGGGTTTGGACTACATGGAATTTTAAAAATAAATAATTGTACTGTTTTTTTGTTTTTTTTTATCCTCACCTGAGGATATTTTTCCATTTTTTGTACAGATAGAGTGGGAGGGAGAGAGAAGAAGGGGGAGAGAGAGAGAGAAACATCGATGTGAAGGGATACATCGTGTGGCTGCCACCCGCACGACCAACCAGGGCCAGGGACAAACTGCCACTGAAGTACATGCCCTTAGCGGGAACCGAACCCGGGTTTCTCCGGACCGCAGGCCGACACTCTAACCGCTGAGCCAAACTGGCCAGGGCAATTGTACTGTTTTTAATGCATGGTTAAGAGTTCTTGGATATGGAAGGCTGACTGTATGCATCAATCTATGCTATTTTGTATAGGGACATGACCATTTGTGGATTTTGGTATCCTCGTAGATCCTGGAACCAGTCCCCTGTGGGTACTGAGGTTAGTTAAGTTTTGGGGTAGTCAAAAGTCATAGAAATTTCTCAACTATACAGAGAGGTTGGCACCCCTAATCCCTGTTCAAGGGTCAACTGTATATGCCCTGTATCACTGGCTAGGATCTACTTGTTCTTCTACTTGCTCTGCTTTATGTTTTGATCTCAAGTCTGTGAAAGCAAGTATTACCAACGACGTTTATGTAGCTGAAGACAGTGAACACTTTTCTATGCAGTAAATAGCATTTGACATTGTTAACCATTGCATATCTTTTAAAAATCATTTCTTGGCTTCTCCTGGTTTTCTTTCTACTCCTCTGGCTATTTATTTTCTTTCAGTTTTCTTTGCTGCTTTATCTTCCCCTTTAAACCTTGAAATCAAAGGTTGCAAGCTCTGGACCTGAATATGACCCAAATGTAGTTTGTAGAAACAAATTGTTTTGGCAGTGTTTTAAAGATTTTGAAATAGAACACTTGAAATTGTGCATGAAGTGCATAGTTGGCCCCAAGTCCCATCACTCTAATTCCAGGCAGATTTACTCATTTTTGTTTACCTGCCTACCCAGTATACATTTGAGTGTTTTTACTTCTGCTTGAAATGTTGGAATGTTATGGTTCTCATGTAGATCCAGGGGTTTATACTTAAAAAACCCAAATTTATATTTCCAGTTTTTACTTCTCCCTTAGTATTTGTATTTACTTAACTGCTTATATGCCCTCCCTGAACACATATGTAAAAATATTTAGAGATTTAAGGGCCTTTTATACTGATTTAAAGGTATTATACAAGGAATAATAGAAACATAGCAACAATATGCAGAAAGAAAAGGAATGTTCAACATTTTAAAAAATTATTTTTTGATGGGAAATTATGCAAGTATCTTTGCATGGGGAGATAAATGATTCATAGAGAGGGAGGGTGGGGGAATCACATATAGGAAGGACATCACCAAAAAAATTGGAATGATACAGGAATGCCTTTGACAGGTAGACTTTCTTTTAAGCCACAGGATGAAAATCTGGGTACATAATGGGGCTGTAGATTTGGTGGTAGGAAGATAAGGACGTTTCTTCTGCTCTTCACGTATTACAGTAGGAGATGAAGTCATCAGTTGAAAATGAGGACTGCCCGGCTGGTGTGGCTCGGTGAATTGAGTGTTGGCCCATGGACTGAGAGGTCCTGATTCGATTCCCAGTCAGGGCACATGCCCTGGTTTTGGGCTTGATCCTCAGTAGGGGATGTGCAGGAGGCAGCTGATTGATGTTTCTTTCTCACATTGATGTTTCTGCCTCTCTCTATAAACATCAATTAAAAAGAAAATGAGGACAGAGAATTCAGTAGTTCTGAGAATGAATAAGTAGTCACTTTATTAAGTTAACTCACCAGGAAAATATAGTAGGATTTTCAGGCAATGCTGAGTGACCTTGTGATTTAATGTCATAAATTTAAAGGAGAATCTGTCTAGGTATATACTTTGTTCAGCAATACGCTGCTGCTTAGATTCAGATAAGGAGAAGATTCAATCAGAACTGAACTTTTGCCAGGTAAATAGGATAGTGGGAGAAAAGGGCAAGAAAGTTAATGATGTTTGCAAGGTAATGATTATTATAAGGATGACTATGAATTCTCAGAGTGGTAAAGAGGGAAATACAACTAAGAAAGGAATTATGAAAAGTGTAAATGTGATGGGGTAGTAGTCTTCATGAGGTTAAAGAATTAATGCAGTTGAGGACCTAGAGTAAAGTTATCTGTGAAGGACACAGGATAGTCAGGAGAACAAATAGATACATCTATTAGTAGTGAGTAATAGACTGCGACCAGGCTCAAACCATGGTCAGAGATGATGAATCAGGGACTAGAGTTTGTTGTAGTGAGAGTCACAAAATGACTGGAACCTCCCCTGCTATAACTTCCTTTATTGGCCTACTATTTCCTGTAGAGTGCTTTCAAAAGAAAAAATTTAAAATTAATCATTCTCACCCAGTTTGGCGTGACTCAGTGGTTAGAGCATTGATGCCTGCTCACCGAAGGGTCTTCGGTTCAATTTTTGGTCAAGGGCATATT